TTTTGTTTTTTTGAATGTCCAGAGGACCAGATTTAACTTTTTTAGATATTCCTGTAGATTTAATCAAAATGTGTGGGCGGCTGCCTAGTGGAGTGCAGAGTGGGTTGAAATAGGTATAACGTGGGCAATGAATTAATGTGCACGGCCCAAAATACAGATTTGCAAGCCATGCACACAAAACTAAGTCTTTTTTTTTTTACTGACTGCACAGCATTCTGGTTACAGCAAATACTCAGAAATCAGTGAGACTGGAACAGAACATATGCAGAATTTTTGTGAAGTTTTGAGTCAAGTTTGAGTCGCCACCTAGTCTCTAATGTCACAACCCAGTGGAATACTACCTCAATTGAATTACCTTTTTTTTTTCTCAGTTTAATTTCTGATTTTTGTACCCCTCTGACCTGTCATCACCAATTTTCTGTAGTCAAGAAACTTGAATTTTGTCACATTATGTGACAACTACCAGTGGTAGTTTTATCTGATTTAGCTCAATAGTTTAGTTTTTTCAGCTGCTCTTTTTGTCAGAGGTCACCACAGCGAACAGTCTCATAAAGATTTGGCAGTTGTTTGACACCAGATGCCCTTCCTGACACAACCACTCATTGAGCTACCACAGCTCGTGTGGATGCCATCTTGGGCATCCAGTAGGCGTGGATGAGGAGGGGTGTTAAGGGCCCTGCTCAAGGGCCAAGGCACAGAGTGGAGCAAATGAGGGTGGCGCCTGATGTGAGTGCTTCACCTTTCCCACACACATTTTTGATGTTATGTTCAGGGGTATTCAAGCCAGCAATCACAGGCTCGCCTTCTCTAACCTCTGTCCCACCACTCTCCCGCTTTTTGATTTAGCGCTCTAGATAATTAAATAAAATTATCTGAATCAATGATCTGGCAATACAGACACATTTTTATTGATGTTGAACTTGTCCACTTTGAACCATAATCTATTATACAAACTTGTATTTTGTGATTTGCCATATGTTGTATATATTTCTGTAAGGACTAAAGAACGATCCACTCACTAACTAATAGTTAGGAAACTACTGAAACAAACATTCTAGATAACAGACATTTCTTTTGTCCAAACATAGAATAGTACATTCATTAGATTATAAAAGATCAGCTTTTGACCAAGTCTGGTTATAAAATTTGTGATCTCCTATAGAAGCTGTGAGCTTCTCCTCTGTAATCCTTGAATAGAAACAAATTATAATATCTGAAAAATGTTTACAACAAAATGACTGGAAAATAATTCCTAATATCTGATCATTTTCTGCTCAAAAATTTAATTTGCAGTGTTTTACTGATATTTTCATAAGTCATAAAATTTGGAGGAAAATACTTGCGAACATGTATAGTTTACATTCTGCCATCAATCAACTGATGTTTTTAATGTTATTACTGCATGTTTTCACTGCAGTAATAACATGTTATTATACACCATGCAGTCTGGTGGACTTTATAAATGTCCCCCATCACGGAGCAAATAGGGAGAATTGAAAATACCGTCTGTCTGTCCATCCGTTTATATTGTGACCATGATAACATAAACAATAAGTGAGTTACTGACTTCCATTTTGGTGTGGCTACATCTAGACATAAGAAATGTCCATTTCGAAAATTGGATTGCCACATCAAAATCCAAGATGGCTGCCAGAATAAATGTCCTTCCATGTTGTGAGCATGATAACTTGAATAATCATTAAGGTACCGACTTCCATGTCATATTAAAGTTTCCAACAATGTTCTGTCATCTGGACGGTTTCTCTTTTAGTGCTGAGATGTTTTGTCCATCGTCCAATAGACTTCTTCAATGTTCAAATCTTCAAAGGGCGGGCCCCGGAGGCCATGTTAGCACCAGTAAACTGTTTTTTTGTTTGTTTTTTTTTCCACTGTGGAATATGCTGTCGGTGGAGAATCAGTTCTATTTGGCAGCTCCACAGTTTGAAGAAGTCTGTTGGATGATGGACGAAACTTCTCTGCACAAAAAAGAAACCGTCCAGATGACCTGACTGAACTTTGTTGGATTTTATACTTAGATTATTGAGCATGAACTTTGGTGTATTAAAGTTTCATTTCATAAAATCAGGTTGCCTCATTGTTTTTCTAATATGGCTGCCACCATAAATGTCTGTTTGTGTTCTGAGCCTCATAACTTGATAAAAAGTGGGATACAAACTTTTAGTTTAGTACGTGGCTGCATCTGGACATAAACAAGGTCACTATCAAAAATTGGGTTGCTGCATCAAAATCCAAGATGGCCACCACCACATTTGAAAACCGACTGCCCCAATCATTTGAGGAAACTGTGCTCTCTAGTGTTTATATTGATCGAAAGTATAGTTTCCTCCAATGACTCAGGTGACCAAAGATTATTCTATGTTGGCCACGGCCACCATTGGCCACCCCCTGTCTTCGCCATTAGTCATTAATAAATTTGCTTCCTTCATTTTCCAGGGTCTGTCACTGCACCACCTCAGGCAAAAAAAAAAAAAAAACTCTTATTACACACCATGTAACTTACCCACTCAAATATCTTGCGCCAAAGACATTAACGTTTACAGTGCTTGCATTATCTGTTCATTTCCAGTCCAGAAAAACACTCATTTTTAAAACTACAAACATTCACAATTCTAATCCCTCAGATATGTAATATCAGTGTACCACTTGTCTGTCTAATCACTTGTTTAGATTGGCAAGTGGACAGTTTTCTGTCTGTTCCAAAATTCAAAAAGTTACACAACCAGAGGGAAGCATAAAAGTTTTAATTATTGCAGCAATCTGTGTTTTATTTGGCAGTTCATTGTTAATCTTGAAACGTTACACTTTTCTTTATTCTGTCTGTCTTAAAGCAAAAAGCACCTTCAAGACAGTCAGCAGCGCTTCACTCACTGAGTTTGAGCTGACACGTAAGTCATTTACTCCACAACTGAGAGGGGAACCTTGGAGATTCAACATCAACTAAAGTATAAAGTTTTTCTGTTCGAAACAGCAGATGTTTTTAATATCAGGTTTATTGTTGGTTTACAGAACTAAAGAAGTTCAAACGTTACCAGATTGTCATGACAAGCTACAATATCATCGGAGAGAGCCCACCTTCAGCTCCGGTGGAGGTGTCTGTTGGAGAGGCAGGTAGGAAAAATAAATAAATGTGTTGATGTGCATCTTACTGTCAAATCCTTTTCTTTATAAAGAGTATTGTTTACAACATAATGAAAGGAGTGTTTGTGTCAATGTATTGATGTATTTTATTATTAATATTATTTTATTATTTCTGTGATCACATTCTTAATTTCTGAAGTTGTATTTTATATGAAAATAACTTTGATTTAAATGTTATTAAATAACTAAATTTGCAGCTTTTAATGTAAATATTCCATCATCTTTAGTAGCAGAGATAAATAACTCATCTTACTATAAAATTAATAAACATGATATATGTATTTTTTGTTTGTTTTTGTTTGTTTGTTACATTATTTTATTTTATTTTTTTATCCATGGTAGTCTCAAGTCTTCTCAGAAATGTACTTTGTTAGAAATATTTTGTATTTTTCTCGGCTGGAACATTCGAGCTCCACGAGCTCGTCTGGAGTGTTGATGCACAACAATGTCGGGTTTCTCTAAAAATTCCTCTGCTGGGTTTCCTTACAGAATGTTAAGTTACAAACCTGTAGCTTTCTTTTGTAGATTTGTTTGTTGTGATTTACAACAAAAAGATTTTCTAAACGTTAATTTTTTTATTTTTACGTAACTGTTACAGAAATGCACAGAACGATGCTGCCATCACCATGTTTGACTGTCAGAGATGAATAGTATAACAAAATTATAATCAATTCCTTGTACAGTCTCAGTCAGAAGCGCTTACTTTGTATGCTGGAAGTTATTTAGTGTCATTTGGCAAATTTATAGCTGCTTATCATTTATTAGCTGCCTTTTTGTGGTGACTGTCACCATTTAATGATAACAGGTCTGAAAAGCATGTTGATGGTTTGTCACATTCTAAAGTGACTGTGTGTACTTTTTGACTTTTTAAAAGTTGCAGATATATTGTTGTACCCCTCTCAAATCTACACCTTGACATGATCTCGTTTAAGTTACATTAAAAATGCTAAATATATTCTAACGATCCGACTTTAAATTTGACTGCATAAAGAATGAAATGTAATTGTCTTGTATGTACAATATTTATGTGGCATGAAGTGGTTTAAAGCATTTTATTTATTTCTTATTTGACTGAAACAAAAAACTTATTTAGAAAGTTGTGTGACTAAAATAAACTTTCTTTTCCTAAACGTTTAGTTAACACAGCAGCTCATATTTGTACTTTTTAGCTAATTTGATTTTATCAGTAGGTTGTGTTAGTGTGGGATGTGAATGGAAGGATGAGAAAAATATAGACATGATTCTTGATTGTAGGACAACTTCTCTTCTTCTATTTACTTTATCCTGACCATATATTGTGGCCTTGCTCTTGAGTAATATTATATTTGAAAGTCTTAGTTCCATTCTCTAGAAACATGCGTGTGTATGTGTGTGCCTGCATGCATACACATCTGAAATACGGCACAAGGTCATCTGTTTTGTAGTGATGGCCTAATCTCTCTTTCACTTTCACTGGAAAGTCAAACCGTGAATCCATTAGACAGACATGAGTGCAAATACAGCCACCTTTTTTACTCT